AAAATGTGTAGATATTAACTGGCCTCTTTTTATAACTGACCAGGTTTTTAGAATGATTTTATTATGTCAGTCGTATTAGGATGCCACCCCCCCCCCCCCGGATGTGTTATGGTGCTTTCATTTATTTTAGCATTGGTCGCCAGTCACATCATGATGTTCTCCATTATATTATGGACGTTGAATCACATCATGATGTTCTTAATTATATCATGGGCGTTGAATCACATTATGATGTTCTCTATTATATCGTGTGCGTTGAATCACATTATGATATTCCCAATTATATCATGTGCGTTGAATCAAAGTATGATGTTCTCAATTATATCATGGGCGTTGAATCACATTATGTTGTTCTCAATTATATCATGGGCGTTAAATCACATTATGATATTCTCAATTATATCATGGGCGTTGAATCACATTATGTTGTTCTCAATTATATCATGGGCGTTAATTCACATTATGTTGTTCTCAATTATATCATGTGCGTTAATTCACATTATAATATTCTCAATTATATCATGGGCGTTGAATCACATTGTGGTGTTCTCAATTATATCATGGGCGTTGAATCACACTGTGGTGTTCTCAATTATATCATGGGCGTTGAATCACATTATGATGTTCTCAATTATATCATGGGCGTTGAATCACATTATGATGTTCTCAATTATATCATGGGCGTTAAATCACATTATGATGTTCTCAATTATATCATGGGCGTTGAATCACATTATGATGTTCTCAATTATATCATGAGCGTTGAATCACATTATGATGTTCTCAATTATATCATGGGCGTTGAATCACACTGTGGTGTTCTCAATTATATCATGGGCGTTGAATCACATTATGATGTTCTCAATTATATCATGGGCGTTGAATCACACTGTGGTGTTCTCAATTATATCATGGGCGTTGAATCACACTGTGGTGTTCTCAATTATATCATGGGCGTTGAATCACACTGTGGTGTTCTCAATTAGCTCAGGTAAAAAAGGCCCCGTTAAAGACGACCCAGCTACAAGGAGGCCCAGTTAATAGATGCTCTACCAGCAGACGGCCCAGATAAAATACGGCCCAGCTAAGATAAGGCCCAGCTATAAGACGACAGAGCTAAAAAGAAGGTCAAACTAAATTTGGCCCAGCTAAGAGGAGGCCCAGCTATAAGACGACAGAGCTAAAAAGAAGGTCAAACTAAAAGTTGGCCCAGCTAAGAGAAGGCCCAGCTATAAGACGACAGAGCTAAAAAGAAGGTCAAACTAAAAGTTGGCCCAGCTAAGAGAAAGCCCAGCTATAAGACGACAGAGCTAAAAAGAAGGTCAAACTAAAAGTTGGCCCAGCTAAGAGAAGGCCCAGCTATAAGACGACAGAGCTAAAAAGATGGTCAAACTAAAATTTGGCCCAGCTAAGAGAAAGCCCTGAAAAAGAAACTGCTGAGCTAAAAGTCGTCCCAGTTAAGAAACGGCTCAGCTATGAGATGACCCAATGAAGAAACGGCCCAGCTCTGAGAATGTCGATCTAAGAGAATTACCAGGAAAAAGACGGCCCAACTAAATGAAGGCCCAGATAAAAGACGGGTCCTTCTGTTATGACCCAGCTAAAAGACGGCCCAGCTAAGAGAAGGTCATGCTTAAGACTACCTCTATAATTTCGGCCAAGCTCTGAGACGGCCTAGCTAAACGACATCCCAGCTAAGAAACGGCTCAGGTAAGAGAATGCCCGGCTTAAAGAAGGACCAGCTAAAAGATGGCCTAGCTTTGAGACGCCCCAGCTAAGAGACAACCCAGCTCTGCGACGATCCAGTTAAATGACGGCCCAGCTAAAAAAAAAAAACCCAAAGCTAAAAGATATCCCAGCTAAAAGACGGCTCAGCTAAGACAAGGCCCAGCTAAAAGACGGCTCAGCTAAGACAAGGCCCAGCTAAGAGACGGCTCAGCTAAGACAAGGCCCAGCTAAGAGATGACCCAGCTAAAAGATGGTCAAGCAAAGAGAAGGCACATCTAAAAGATCGTCTTTTAGAATTAATAAAAACAGAAAAAAAATTCTAAGAATGGCGGTTCAGGAGGAAAATACCTAGAAATTGCGTAGTATAGTGAGGAGTCAGAGCGGGTGTTCTCGTCATCGGGTAACTTTGGTAAACATTTTGACAATATCGAAAATATTAGGATTCGAGTATTCGTAAAAATCAATATGGAAAATACCGGTTTTGGTAAAAAGGGAACGGTTTTGCGACCCTACTGCCAACGCTAACAGACAGTCTGCAGAAGCGGTGCTGAGCAGGAAGCTCTTGACTGCCAACACTAGAGACTAGAGGTGTTTTTGTAGCGGTTCAGAACAAAGTTTGCTGCCCGTCGCTGTACCGCTTGCCACCTGTCGATACTCTTCTATGTGAATGGGTCCCAGACTGAAGATGCCTGATCTAAAAGCGGCCGGACAAAAGGCTTTATAGGCTCTTTTTATCACAACGGAATTGCCGATCTTCAGATTTCGCCTTAAGAAGCCCAGGTCTTGTTTGCGTGGTTCCACACACTGTTAATAGTGTTAATGTGCTCGTCCCAGCGGACCTCTCTTTGAAAGGCAACACCGAGGTACCTGACGGAGGAAACTGGATCAGGGATATGGCCATGCAGTTCTTAATGGTGGTGTAGAGGAGTACCACTTCTAGAGACTGACCGTGTCTGGCAGTGGCGTAGCGAGGGTGTTTGGCGCCCGGGGACAAGATTCGCGCCCGGGGACAAGATCCATTTTTAGCGCATTTAGCACATTTTGGCGCCCCTAACTAGCTGGCGCCCGGGGACATCTGTCCCCCCTGCCCCCACCACGCTACGCCTCTGGTGTCTGGTACTTGGCTGGATGAAATTCCATGTCCCAGCTCATCTCCAACTCAGCTGACCGATTGAGATCCTGCTTTAATTGGTCTTGGTCAGCACTGTTGGCGATCGTCCTATTCACTTTACTCTATACCATTGGAGGTATTGAGGACCTATCAGGAGACATTGAGGACCTGTCGGGAAGTACTGAGATCCTGCCAGGAGGTTCTGAGGTCCTGTTAGGAGGTATTGAGGGCCTGTTAGGAGGTATTGGGGACATGTCGGGAGGTACTGAGAGCCTGTCAGGTGGTACTGAGGTCCTTTATGGAGGTATTGATGACCTCTTAGGAGGTATTAAAGACAAGTCGTGAGGTACTGAGATTCTCTTAGGAGGTATTGATGACCTCTTAGGAGGTATTAAAGACAAGTCGTGACGTACTGAGATTCTCTTAGGAGGTATTGATGACCTCTTAGGAGGTATTAAAGACAAGTCGTGAGGTACTGAGATTCTCTTAGGAGGTATTGAGGGCTTTTTAGGAGGTATTAAGGACATGTCGGGAGGTACTGAGATCCTGTTAGATGGTATTGAGGGCCTTTTAGGAGGTATCGAGGACCTATTTAGAGATACACACACCGCTGTTCTTACAAAGCACAGTTGTCACACGCGCAACAGCAACTACTCTAATTCTTATGTTTCCTTGAGCTCATAGATACAGACGGACCATTTAACTAATTTTTTCCCCAGACGTATTATTGTGTGTATTTGTTTTCCCCAGTCAGACCAGACAGACGTGAACGCCTCGACCTGACCCACATTCACTAAACACCGTTTTCAATGTCCAATTATCTTCAAAGATGGCTTGTTGCATGAGCTGATCTATTCAACCTTGACCCTAAATGAGGCCAACTTCTGAGAAGGTGCAGTCGGTGGTTTAGGGGGCGGTCCGCCTGGGGTGGGGGGGGGGGGGGGGGGGGGGCGGGGGGGGGGGGGGGGGGGGGCTTTTATTTTTTTATAAGGAGAGGCGGAATTTTCGGACAACTGTTAGTGGTAGGTGGGTAAAAAAAAAAAATCTTGGCCCAACCTGAGCTGTCCTCACACTTGCTACGCCATTGATTAAAGCTTAAAACAGGGTTTCCCGCGGTGATAGGTGATTGCGCGACATGGGCGTCATTCCCCCTCCCCCCGAGTGGTGGTCGGTGGAAGCCAATCTCACTCAGTCCCCTAGACCTTCGTCGATTCTCCATGGAATTTATTTAATTCGAGAGCTCACTATGAATATAAGTAATATAAAAATTGTGTAGTTAAAAATTGTTTTTGGTATGTGTGTATGCAAAATCTCCCCCCCCCCCCCCATTATTTTTATATAATTTTTAACTAATTTAAATCTTTTGACTAAAGCTAAATGCTGCATCTCAACTACCGGTAATATACTTTATTAAATGGGAAAAATACAAGCTATATATCTGCAGTGATTCTTTTAGGCTATATTTTTTTTTGGGGGGGGGGGGCAGTGCCAGTGGAAAGAGGCGTAGCTAAGGTGGGCATATGTCCTCGGGCGCCAGATTACCGGGGGGCACATAATGGAATTTTTTTGTATTAATGGATAAAAATAATTTGTTTCAGCGTTCAAAAAGGGCCGGGGTAAAAATGAATCTTGTCACCTGGCACCAAACACGCCAGTGATGTAGAAAAAAAAATGGGGGTGGGGGAGAGACAAATGGTTGGTCTACCCAGGTGTCATTTTTTTCTATGCCCCTGCCAGCGTCCACAACCCCGGTGATGGGGATACGTGCGGGGGGGGGGGGTGGGGGGGGGGGAGAGAAATATAAGTTATTTTGTTCTGTCGTCTTAATAACAACCCCTTTTTATGTTAATCCACTTCTATTAATTTGTCAAAAATGATGAACTTATGCTTTGAGTACCAGTAACAACTCCTTTAATTTCAAATAGCAACACATTTCATATTCTGAAAAACTTTTCTTTACAAAAATTATTTTTTAAAAATCGACTCATGGTCAGATGTTAATAGTAAGGTTAGTAGTTGTTAAAATAAAATGAAACTAATGTATATGGCTCTCAAATAAAAAAATTACAAGGGACATAGCCAGCTGTCAACACATAAACATAACGTCACAAATAAAAACAGAACACTGTCATTTTTGGTAGTTTTTTAAGTATTTTTTTTACTCTGATAATGCATGGGATTTTTATTTTTATTTTAAATAAGACTCGTTTTCACTCCCTAATTTGGGTCTAATCTTAAATCTAAAGAGTTACAATAGCAGATTTTCAGCCATATCCAAACTAAGTACAGTATAGTATATGCACATCAGACCACCCAGAACTGACCAGCATTGGTCTCCTACTGCTGAGTTCTATTTGGATAGGGGCGGCCACTGAGCAATGTAAGCTTTTCAATTTCAAAAACTGGCCTTTTTTAAAAAAAAAAAGAAGAAAAAAAGGGATCTGCAGGAAATATCTGGAAATAAACTGGCAACCCTTCATTGACCACATTGAATATTGTATAGGAAGTTATTTACCGTGGTGTCCAAGGGTTAAGAATTGTCCCATTTGTATCCAATATTTATATTAATGTAGTCTTTTAAAATAAAATTTACAGTAGTTCAATTGGAATGGGAAATAGAAGAACAATTTAAATTCCTCTTTGATCCACCTTTTGGAATTGGAAGGGGGTGCAGTTTCTTTAATAACAAGAATTTTAAAATATATTTTCCTACAGAACTAACTTTCAGCTCGGTTTCACACTTGGCAAATGACCTAACTTATTACATAATGCACTAACCAAATAGTAGAATGAAATGAAACAACTTATTTGCCAAGTCAAGTCAGGACGGTAACCTTATATTTATCAAGCAAATGATACATGGCAAAATAAAAGCTGTAGTTAACTGTTAATAAATCGCATGGATTTCATGGTTTGGCCGGGGCACTAACACAAAAAGGACTGCTGCATTCATTATCACATCAGTGAATTTAAAAAAAATAAGCTATCTAGTTGAATACCATTTTTCATTAGCAGATGTAAATAGGAGAAAAATAATTTTGCATCTGATGTACATATACTTATTAAAAATCCTGAACTGTTCCAACCTCAAATCTTAATACATTCTAATGTAATTCTGAACTAAGGTTAAGATGATCATCATGTTAGGGGATGTTTGATGATGTTGGCATTTACAACAATTGCCCGGGCCATTCATAAATCAACAGTTGTATTATGTAGGGCTGTTACACACTAACAAGTCAAGAAAAATGTCATCATATCAACAACCAGTAATAAAACAACTTACACAACTTGTCCTTGGTGGGCAGTAAGGGGTTAGTTTTACATTTGTATAGTACATAAAACCCCTTTTTACCTCACAAAGGAATGAACTTTTCAACCTGACATGTCCCATGTATCAGCAGTAAATAAACAAAATGAAGCTTAAGGACTGCATTAGTAACAAATGGCTCCGGGAAGAAAATGTTGATTGACTTTCAAAACAGAAATAGTTTTTAAAAACACATTTCAGGTTGAAAAGAAAAAGGTTGGTTTTTTTTGGGGTGTTAATAAGTGAGGAAGATTTGGTCTGAGAAGGAAGATGAGAGATGGACTGAGAAATGGACACAAATCATCATTCATAAAATATCTAATCTGCATTCATAAATAACTGGTATCACAATTCGCTTACTGCTCCTCATGCATTGTGCAGAGGTCAAAAGGAAGAAACCTATTCAAAATCTGAGAGAAAAAAAGAAAAACAATAGACAAGAAGTATTCTCTTGTTAGATTCTCATTAAAGTAAAAGACAATTTTATGACAGTTTTTATTATATAAAATTTTGGTAGCCATTTGAAAATAAAAGGGGTAGGGGGACAAGTAGAATAATCATCAATACTTTTTTCAACAGACCTAAAAAAACAATAGAAAATAAAGGTGATGGTAGAGATAATTTTTTGTGTACAAACAATATGGATAATGTTTTATAAACTTTGATATGGGCTACCCACTGGACTGTCAATATTGCTAATGGAACATAATCGTATCTGTATAATACTTCCATTGAGATAAATTGTTCACTTCTGCACATGCACAACTCTCATCTATACAAAGACATAATTAGTTCATGCCCAACTGCAAACAGTTCCATTTTTAAGATCCAAAATCTTTCACAAATCTGCCATAAAATATTTCCAGTCATTGCCATTTGACTGCTTTAAATATGTAATCAATCACATATAGATCTCATATAAACACAAGAAGACACACTGAGAAAATGATACAAAAATAGCCAGAGGAACAGTTGTTATTGCCTGGCTCAGGCCATCACAATCAAAATTAATCTGGTTTAACCATTCAATGGTAAAAATGTCACCTTGACAAAATCTAAGTTCAGATACATCAATATTTTCTTAAGAAATGCATCTGTAGTAATTAATGTGAACTTTAAATCCTCCAGAGCACAACTTATGGGGACAAAGCTTCTCATTTCAAAGGTAAATATCCCAAAGTCCGTCAATGAAATTCACCCAAATGAGCCATGGCTCAGTCGAGGAGAGCAATACATTATTATTGCCTCCTTATGCAGTGAATAAAGAATCGATTGGCATCCACATTGCACTAAAACTTTTGACTTGCTTTGGGTACAATTAATGAAGCATAATTTCTTTGAATGGAAATAAAATTACATACAGGAAAAAGTAGCTTCCTTTCAATCAAGTTCACAAAAATATTTGAGCTCATGGCCTCAAGAGAGAGGCTGTAGCTGTCCGATTTCAAGTTAGAGTTCTTCTAATGAACGCCGACATTATCAAAGCTATACTGGATACAGTTACTGCATCCATCACAGGTAATTTTTTTTTTGCTACAAAATTTGGTATTGTAGCTAAACATATAAATCACTGCAAACTAAAAATCAAGTCTAATTGCTAAGTCAAGTCCTCATATAATTTAAGTAGCTCATATTTCTATCATGATATGCATGTGCTGAATTGCTCTCAATACCAGCACAAAGTACACACATAAGTTTACACCATGCATATGAACACATGTACACAAGTAAACCATGGAGTTTATAGACACATCACAGTGTATAAAGAAATCTCTTATTTTTCTAAGGGTACCATCACAGTGTATGAGTCTTTAAAATCTCCCTATTCTCTGCTTTATGATACATAAATGGATCCATGTATACAAATGTGGCACTGCACCTCCCACCTGATCAGACACACATTTTAGGTCAACAGTTGGGCCTCATCATCTACACAAAAATCTCTCTACTTTCTCATTCACACTTTCCAGTGATAACATCAGTGTAATTTTGACAATTAAAAAAAAAATGTTGGCTGTCCAAACAAATTATTCACATTGTGAGGGGAACCACTAATGATTTATGAATTTTTTATTTTTTTTTTGCAGCCAAAAACACAAGTCAAGTAAGGCCACATTATGAAATACTCCATTAAAAAAAAGTTTCAGCATTGACCAGTTATACCTCAGATATCAAGCTTGACATACACAACCACCAAGCAGCTGATCCAGTCACACATTTGCATATATATTTTTCTTCATATCATTAAATTATTTACAAATCAATCAAATGGCATTTCAAAAGATTGTTTCTTCTCTCATGACAAACTTCATCCACTCATTTAAGTGAGTTTGTATTCACACTGGCACTAGAATTCACTTCAACTCTTCTAGGGCCTCAGATAACATACTGCATACAATCATAGTTCAAAATCTGTAAATACAGCAATGACTTTCACATTAAAAGAATACATCCTGGGAGTGGCTAAAGCATTAGGTAAAAATGTCTGCTGTAAACTAACCCAGGCAGCCAAGGGAATGAATCCAGTGCTTGATTTAGTAGAAGAACAAAAGTCAGCCATTAAAAAAAAAAAAAACAACAGATCCATCAAGTGGTTGGCTGAAGCTATCCTTGTTTCTCCTACAAATGCACATCTCAATTAATAAAAATAACATGGACAAACAATGTCATCACACACAGCATTTTATGCTGTTCAGTTTCATTCCAAAAATAACTTAACTGTGAATTTGGACTCGATGACCTTAAGCTGAATCGAACAAGCTTGAGGGTAAGAGATTAAGCATCGCTGGATAACATGGACCTCATGAAACCACAACAACATTGACCCAAACTTTCTAAAATTATAACATTCTATTAAAACTGAGCACACCTTTTTCCCCCTAGGGGAAACTTAAATTAACTGTTGTTTTTAGCTAAGGATATAAACCACATTACAAACTTGTCCTCACTGGATGCCAGAGCTTTCAGTCTTTAATTGTGGAAAATCCTCAGACTAAAATGACTGGAAAAATTCATCTGCCATCTCCAATAAATGCATTATTTATGAGAACTTCCGAGTTTCCAATGGGTCCATAACAAAAAACCTGTTTACAACCAATCTTATGAGACCGACAAGTTTATTATGTCTATAACTTGTCCATATGCTCCAGTCTTTATTGCATTGCTCCATTCAAAACAATGCTTTAAAAAGCTTTGTGTTTTTATCTTGCTACACCATCTCTGCAAAGACTGAATAGTGGAAGGTTTGCGAGTTCAGTCCAAGTTGTCATTAAATCCAGCGAATCCATTACGGGGAATCCGAGCTTTAATTTCTACACAAAACATAAGGGTGTCCAGGTATTACAAACATATCAAACTTTACTCTGTGTTTAAAAATGGTCACCAGTTGCATAATAACATAACATTAAAAAAAGAGGGAAAGTACAAACTGTCAGTGCTCTGTTGTGTGCTGACAGTAGTCAAACACCAGCCAAGTGTTGGGTGAAGTGAGTGTTTAAAGTTACAAGAGCATCTGCCTCTGTCTGTAAGATTCCCCTAAAAGTTTCCAGTAACAGGTGCACCATTTACAGCCAAACCACATGAGTTTTCTGATATTGTGTTCATTTCATCTTCAGTGTAGTCAAATACAAACACCTCTTGAGCTGGATTCATGTTTGAATGACACAAATGAAGCACCATGTGAAGTAGTCATTGGGAAGTACAGGACAAAAATTGCACACATCCATTCAGATAACAAACACATATAAATCAGTGTGAGCTTGATTTCATCTCTCCACATGTACACGCATTCTGAAAAGATTTTCAACAAAAATACAATGAACAAATATGTTGTTGATCTTCGTCAGTGTGATACTACAGCAATAAAAGAGAGGACTACTGGAGTGAACATATTTAATCTATTTGGCTATCAGTGTCAATAACAATTCTGTAAATACTTTAATGAGCTGAAAGCAAATTAGACCTAATACTTTTCATGAACATGCAGTTATTAACTATATGCTGAAAGGAAATATAAAATAATTCCTTGAAATCTTAATATATCAATTTTATTATCATAATATTATTAAATGACGGGAGCTGCAAATGGTAAAGCATCAAATTAAAAGCTGATCTAACACCTTTTGCCAATGTATGACATTCCAAAGTAACTTATGACATGAATATCTTGAATTTCAAAATGGCTATCATGGTGGGAACTCTGACAAAATACTCATTAATCGGTGCAAAATATAAAAAATTCGTTCAAATCTGACAACAATATTTGATAACACATGTAAGGAAGAAAGTGATGAGAATTTGTGGGCAGTATCAGGTAAATACGGATAATTAACACATTTTGTACATCATTCAATTGTAGTAGAATACCAGACAAGTTTCTTACCGTGCTTAACTAAGGCCAAGTAAACATTATTGTTGGTGCTGAAACTGTTGTAACGTTGCTGGAAAAATAAAAGATGAATATTTATATAACATTTTGGAAAAATTTATATATATTATAGTGTTTCAAATACAAAATATATATTCCAAGGGCTATATAAAATATTTTGCTAAAGACTAAAATGCACAACCTACAAGAAATATTCAAAAAGTCCACAAAGAACAAACAAAATTGGAATGCTTAATGTTACCTAAACCATGTTTAGCTAATCTTTCTTATTTCATTATGATTTAGATTGTTGGAAGTTTGTTTAAAAGAAGGTTTATTCAATAAGTAAATTGTGTAAAAAAAATATTTTTTTTTAAAGAAATAATAATTTAACATAAGGAAATCCAAAACTAAAAATAAACCATACAAAATGTTGAAACCAGAACAAGGAAAAGAATATTCATAATGAAAACAATCATGAATTAACTTATTTTATAAAGCATCATTACTATACTTAACCTTAAATTTATTAATTTTAAATTTATATAATATATTTCAATACATAAAACCAGTATTTTTTGGGGGTCACACTCATGGTGTTTTTTGGCACCTATGTTCGGCAAAATTTAATTTCAGTTAAGTAAATGTATAGTTTTTAAAAAGAACATAAGAGTTCTGGCACCTTTTTTTTTTTTTTACACACTATTTACCCAAACATCAGCATAAAATATATTCAAATAGGAGATGATTTTAAGAATTATATTAATGCTACATTAAATTTTCTTAATGAACATAAGAGTTCTGGCACCTTTTTTTTTTTTTACACACTATTTACCCAAACATCAGCATAAAATATATTCAAATAGGAGATGATTTTAAGAATTATATTAATGCTACATTAAATTTTCTTAACTTGTGCATCTATTTAAAAAAAAAAAATTGGCATCAAGATAAAGTATTATTTATTTATTTGCTAGTTTATCAAGAATGGAATCAACAAAAATAATATTAACAATAAAGAATAAACAACAACTGTGACAGTGGTCACCTCCTTGAGCCTTCTCTAGACATGTAGTACTGAGGGGCTATGGGGCAGAGAGAGAGAGAGATAATGCTGCAGTAATGAGGGATGTGTGTGTCTCAGAAGGCACAGGTTAGGGGGATATAACAAAACAGCAGACTTTCAACTTTGACCTCAAGTCATCCAAAACTAAAATAAATACTTTCAACTTGTTTTTGTTGTCATATTTACTAAAAAAGTGTGCTTGTTTATTTCTTGTATAAATATTAACCTCAGAAAAAATTCATACCAGACAATTTATGAAGTAAAACAATGCTATCAAACACCTTGAAACACATCTTTATTTCACCATATGAAGTACAAGTGTCACTACAGTTACAAATTGCTGACTATGCATACTAAACTTGTATTAATTAATCAGACTTTAATCACATTCGTTAATTAATCAGCAACTGTTGTTTAAAAAATGCACATTGCAATTAATTGTAGGTAATTTTTTTTAGAAAAAAGTGGTTAACAACACAATAACACTCAACACATATTAAAAATGTGAACTTAAAACTTACCAGCCTGCATATACATGCTAGGTTGTGATCCTGATACTTGCTGATGAAGCCCAGGCATGCCAGAATGGATTATATGGTGGCCACCTTGATTAGGGTTGGGTCCATGGTTTGGGGGCATCTGAGGCGGCCCTGTCAAAAATTAAAAAAAAACGCTATATTTATAACTCAGTTACTTCATATAATGTATACACATTACATTTTTTTCACCATTTACCCCCACGTCTTTTTTAGCATCTTTTTTTTTTTTTTTTTTTTTTTTTTTTTTTTTTTTTTTAAAGAAGATAACATTTATTGGCAGGCTACTTTAAAAACTTTGCCAAAAACTAAATGGTGCAACAAATTCTTTCAAAAAGGTTTGTACGATTTTCATTGATGGCATGGAGGAGTGTGGTATTTTATGCCATAAAAAAAAAGAACATTTATTTAGTTTGTAGGGTGTGCTATAGGTTTGGTTGACATACCTTGCATAATATTGTGCTGGGGCTGAAACTGAATACTTGCTGGGTATGTTTGTGGGTGTTGCTGCATAGGCGGGTGCCCTTGTGGACTTGGTGTTGGCATCACTACATATTGTGGCTGTGGACCCTGTCCATGAGAGGAATTTTGGGAAGTTTGGGGCTGTGCTACAGGGGCATATGGGTACTGGGCTGGATTGCCATTTGGATAAGGTGTGTATTGTGCCATTGGGTAGCCAATGCTGACTGTTGGATGGCCCCCTGTTAGACCTGGCTGACCAGACATGGTAGTTCTTGGCATGTTTTGGATATAGCTCATTTGAGTATAATGTGCAGGCTGAGGGGTCACCGACTGTGGTGGTCCTTGGGACATGTGATGGGGAAGGGGCTGTGGAATCTGCTGGGAGCTATGCTGCTGGTGCTGAACTGGTGAAGGTGCAGGATTAGGAACATGTGTAGGCTGAGGTTGTTGATTGGTTGACTGGAGTGGTAAAGCCTGACCATGTGCTGGTTGAGGATGTGGATTAAGATGAGCTGGCATTGGTGCGTGCACTCCCTGCTGTTGGGCTGTCACTAATTGTAGAGGGAACATAGTTAATAAAAGAAATTTATATAACCAATTTGTTTTGAAACATCTAACTCAAGACTAAAAATTTTATAATTAGTTTTAAAGCCATAAAGGTCTTAATAGATTATCAAAATCTGAAATGAATTTGTTACAAAATTTATTTATATATACCGGAATATTCTATAATTTCTTTTTCCAATAAGCAAAAATACAAGTGATAAATAATTTAAAAATTAAATAAATTATTATGTTTATCTCAATCAAATAAAAATGGAAAACTTTTTCAAATATTTTTAGATATAAGTTCATTGTGCTGTAAATTCTGAAAAATAAAAATAATTAAATTTTGAATTCACAGGAATTAACTTTATGACATGTTCAATCAAATGATTCTAATTTAGAAAGTTTTAAAAAAAAAATTAAAAAACTGTACTCACTAAACACAGGCTGTGGTTGGACCTGTTGTTGAGCTTGTTCAAGTCCTCCATGTTGCCCCCCTTGGGCTATTGCTATTGGATTGGGACCTAACATTCTGGGCATCATTTGTGGGTAAAACTGCTTATGAAAAATATCATTCATTACAAACAGCAAAATATGCATTTAAAAAAAAACTGAACATGACATTATTACAATAATAACAACAGTCCCAAAAAAGTTATAAAGAATCTCAAACAACATACATATACATAGGATATAGTTTTTGCAATACCTCTTAAGCAAATGAGTTAACTAAAAACAATCCTGTAAATCAGGGTTACAAATTTGTAATATATTAAGTTTTTTATGTAATGTAATAAATAGACCTATGTCAATGAACTGTGCTTTGGTGTTCTTTGTTAACCCTTTGCAACTACTGATTTATTGATTTTAAATTATGGCGAGAAAATTACAATTTTCAGGGTTTTATTCAGACAAAGATATTTTTTTATTTCTAGTCCAAATATTTCAAGGGCACGTTTTAGTCTATTCATTTAACTTTAAAAAATTATTTTTTTTACTATTGCTAAAATTAGTTAATGACCATACAAACTATTCCAGCTCTGCCCCAGAATTAATAGCAGAATTAATCACAATTTACACCCAATACTTACTGAATAGCCAGGTGGCAATGTCTGGCCTGGTTGAGCCATGTACATGACTGCGTGAGGTTGAGTGTGAGTGGCCAACAAGGGCTGACCAGTTACATGATGGGCAGTTAGCTCAGGGACACCAGCTGTATTGAGTGAAACAGTGGCTGTAACAGTAAGACACTGCATTCAATTGGCAAGCTTACAATTTATAACTGATATGCAATGTAATGTATAAGATCCCGAAGAAGTAAATATTATTTACAATATTGCATTACATAACATGCTAAATTCATATGCACAGAAATAAGTAAAAAATGTGATGAAATTCACCTCTTTTTCTCTGCTGAGCAGCATTAGGTATAAACACAGGATACATAGGGTATTGAACCATTTGGGGTGGTGTTGTTCTTGGCTGAGGAGATGGGGACTGCAATTCAACTGGTGTTGTAATTGGTGTAGAGCTCTGAGCTTTCTGTTACAAATTTTTTAATTATACAAAAGATTTTTAAAATTAATGTATGTAATAGCATCATTTTCACATGGAAAAAAAAATCAAAAACTAAACTTAAAAATCAGCTAAGTATTTACATACTATTTTTCCATGTCATATCCTCTCTTCCTTGTTCCATATATTATAATGTACTTTAAAAAAAATGAAAACAAATACCAATATAAAGAAAAACAATTCTCACAGAATAAGACAGAATGCCCCGCAAGCAACCCCTCTCATGGCAACAAAATTACCCCCCTACCCCCCAAACACATTCTCATGACCAAGTGGTCATGTCTATTTATTTTAAAACATTATTTTTAATCTTGTTTTTTTTTAAATATTTAAATGGTTTTCACAAGTGCAAAAATGTTACTTTCTCTCATTGCTCTTAACTTTTGTGCCATTTAGTTAAATTTTTCTAAATCGTTAGCCATTTCTAGGTACAACTGTCTTGGTTAATTATTAATAATTTTTTTGGTACTTTTAAGTACTGCTTATAAAATCGGAGTTACTTTTCTTTGTTTAAGGAAGTCAGAAAACCTAAGGCGAATATTAATTTTTTTAAAAATTAATAAACTAAGTTTCCTTAAATAAATTTCAATCGAGACAGATAAGTAAAATTATTTCAAATGATCATTTTTATCTTTGAAATCGCTAATCTTTATCAAAAAAGACAACTTCTGTTTACAATTTCAAAAAAGGAAAATAGGAGGTAGCCGCATATAAGAAGAATCCACTTTTTTTAAGAAGAAAAAAAAATTCTACACGATACCGACGCATAATACGCACCCCATATTTTAGGCTTATTTTTTAGGGGAAAAAAGTGTGTCCTAAATACCAGTAAATATGGTAAATGAAAACATCTTAAATAAATAAGAAGCTGCTGCACGTCCAATTCAGCAATGAAATACTGTGACCAGCCAATGTAAAAAGCTTAACTGATAAATACAAAAAAATCAGTAGAGATGTAAATTATTTTTTTCTCTTAAGTAACCGTTTGCAAAAATGTACTAATAAATGAATTTCAAAATACTTTAAAATAGGAAGGAAAACAATATCTGACAACAACTCACAGGTCGGAACTCCTTTGCATTGGGATTTAACTTTGATTTACTGTGAAGTAGAAAAAATGTTTATAACTCATTTTACTAGGCTTTTAACAGTGAAAGAACCATATTTTGACATTCCAATTCTAGTTTAAAAGTGTTAATAAACTGAACAATAACTTAAAATTACTTAATGTTATGATTAATTTTGTATTTCAGCATAATTTTGTATTTCAGCAGAGTCGTTTACCCTCAAACTACTAAAATCGTACAATATCATCTCAAGGTACAGTATCTTAATAGTAAATAAATTAACAAACAGTATATTTAATGTATACAATGACTGTTCGCATGGCGTGTCTAGCTGGATCAAGTTCAGCTGACATCAAAAAAGGCAGCTTCTAAAAGTAGATGATATATAGTATGGTAACTACCACACCCTGTAAACAGTTGAAAGGCAGAGGGGCTATTAAAAATCTTACAGCTGTTTGTGCGTTCTAAAAAAAGGATTTCAAGGGCCCTCTCAGAGATCCTAAACAAAAATGTCGAAATCTAATGTTCTTCTATATTTTGAGAGCTCACAATCAATGTGTTGATCATTTTGGCTCATGTTGCTCGCGGAACAGTTGAAAAATGCATTCTCTAGTTTTCTCAGTTTCTACACTTATCCTGGCTCAACCATAAGAAATAATTGTCACAAAATTGCATCATGCAGGGCCGAAGCAAACAAATGTGAAGGCCAATCTATATGGCATATACGCAAAAAAAAATAAAAAAATTTGCCCCCTCCCCAATACATTTTTTGACGCCGCATCCCCCCCTTCTTTTTTTTAAATATATGGGTTTGCTGCAGTTTGCTCGCAGAGGCGTTGTGGAATATTAAAATATTTTCATAATTTTATTTCCACTTTTAATCCAATGTAACATCTAGTGTTGTGGTTTAAACAGTATCCCACTTGAGTAACTGCATTTACTAGATGGCGCTTAGTGACCTTACACAAGATAAACAGTGTCCCGTCTCCAAACACTTCAATAGTAGCGACCACCGGGGCAAGGCGGACTTTTCAATAAGTGCGATTGTGGCCAGCACTAACACCGCCAGCCGGGTCAATTTGGAACACAGACTTATCCTGACTTACGGCACCTTGACGCCAGATGGGATTAATGTTATGTCTCTGTTCACAGCTTGACCCTAGCTCCGCCCCTCCACGTTCTGACCTATCACAGTGAACTTTTTTCTCCCCCCTTTTTTCGCCGCTGCTTATTTAAACTCTCACTCAGTTTCCTTCTGCCACACTTCTATTGCTGCCCACAGATACTACTTACCAGCTAAGTGCTATTTCTTATTTTTATAACGTTTTTTCTGTTGTTTTGTTCGCTGACGAAGGCTTTCTGCCGACACGTTCGCTTCTGTTCACAGCTTGACCCTAGCTCCGCCCCTCCACGTTCTGACCTATCACAGTGAACTTTTTTCTCCCCCCTTTTTTCGCCGCTGCTTATTTAAACTCTCACTCAGTTTCCTTCTGCCACACTTCTATTGCTGCCCACAGATACTACTTACCAGCTAAGTGCTATTTCTTATTTTTATAACGTTTTTTCTGTTGTTTTGTTCGCTGACGAAGGCTTTCTGCCGACACGTTCGCTGTTTTGTTGAGTTTAATTTTTCAGGTTTAACCATACTCTGTTTTACTCATTTTATTTAGTGACCTACACACATGTTAAATATATATTTACCCAACCCTTGATTTTATTTTGTATATGTATTTGTTATTTCCAAGTGTACTTGTTAGAATTTAACACAAGGAGCCTGGTGGAAACCTTTATTTGCCAGGAAACGTAAATTTTAGAGCCACTGGCGTAGCGTAACAAAATATTCTGTGAACTAAATATTACTGTAATACCTCTACTATTTAGTATCGTACCATCCGAGTATATCTAGCCAGTTCATTTGTGAAAATACATGACAACATTTTGACAATAATTTCTACATAACAATGCGAGATAAATTTACAGCATTTGAGCTATAAATCTGCTACTTTTATTACTTATAGAGTTTCAGGATGAATATTGTAGCATTTTTTAATAACGTTTGTACTTTCTGCCGAGACACACACCCCCACCTCGCCTTACGTACAATGTACACAAAATCTAAAAAAAATCTAAATCCCCCCTCAGTGCGTACAAACTATATGTATGGCCCAGGATGGATTAGATTGTCACTAGAGCAACAATGCTATTATTACTGTTGCCATGTCTAGTGAGTTTATTATCAAAACATGAATCAACATTATGACCATCACCACTATCATTACGAAAATGTAGGTGTGTTAATTTTATAGACTGAAATAATTAGACCCCCCACACAAACACCTATACAAATAATCCCAAATCTCCAAAATCAACACAACTCCATTCCCCTCTCAGGGCAAACAGTAATTATTGATGGTCTCCAACCAATTGTATTCACTACCAATTTTTTTCAAATTTTTTTTAATCAGAAAAGCAACAGGAATGGTAACCCAGTCTCTTAAAAGTCAGAGTCCTGACTTTCAAGGTGTTAGAATCCGTGAGCATCTGTTTTGTGCCAGGCGAACTATAAGTATGGCACGTATCAGCGTTATTGTTAGTTGGTGTTGTTAGTAATAGTAACTGTAGTAGTAGTAGTGAATAATAATGTTATCCAAGTAGTATCTGTGATTCTTTGGCTAAACTTGTTAGCAGAACCCAGAGTACTTATGGGAGATTAGTTAGATTAAATTGTTGCAGATAATATAATAAAGCTCATTATTAATAACCACTTATTTGATTCCAGTGTTTATGTACTCTTGTGTACTAGTGTACAGTGACAGTGTATTGGTAAATTATCATACCCCAAGACAACAGAGTCACACGAGCTTATTCGTGACACTGACAGGTCTTGGTGTACAATCGTAAAAGACATCTCAAGATGGTACATTGTATACCAAAATCATAAGACTAAACAGGTCTGTTTCAGTAATCAAAGACAGGAATTTAACATATGTTAAGTAAACTATATGAAGCCTACCTGACTGGTGTTTCCTCATCTTCCATTTTTTCAGCAGTCTTGGAAGATGTGGAGACATCTGTTGTTTCTATAATTGAGGTAACTATTTCAGGTGGTAGAGCAACAGGTGGTGAGACTACACTTGTCCCTTGTGTTGAAGCTAATGAGGCTTCATCAATTGTGTCTTCTTGTCTAGATGTATCCTGAGGCCCCTAAACAACATGGCATAAATATTTTAAATGCAGAACCAAAACATCATTTATTTATTAGATTAAAAAACTAAAACATTTCTTTTCACATCAATCATTAAATATATGACAGATTCTTGAATTATGAAAGAAAAACTCATCTATTGAATCAATTAATAAAAGATGACAATGTGGAGTTAGAAGAAAAAAATAAATAAATATTAGGTATTTATGGCCGATATGAGAAATCTTACCAGAACAAATTTTTCTTGAAAGTCCTGTAAATTGCGTGAAATTTTTTGTCTTTCTTCTGTTGGAGAAAATTTTTAAAAAAATGTCTTGATTTTATAGGCATCAGTTGTCTACATACACATTTTAAAAAAACATTTAGTTCCTTTCCCAAAATGTCTTCACATTTTGGGATAATCAAATCTATACCAAAATGTGAACAGCTGCAGACCTGTTTACCCATAGGTTAGTGCCAGAGTAGTTTTCAGCTCTCAAAAAAGTAGTTTCAAGCTCTAAAGGGTACTTTAGTCTATTACCAGGGGGAGAATTGGGAGGGTGGGGGGGGCGTTTTACAATCAAAATACTAAGTTAACAAAGTACTGCTGTTGTGTATCCTGTTATAGAGAGCTTGTTTACATAATATTTCTCGTGCGTGCCCTCTGATTGACCCCGCATGAGACGCTGTGTTCACAAAGGGGTGTGGCTTAGGCCTTTGAAGTATCTTGTTTACAATCGGCTTCCAATTACGCATTGGGTATAATGTTTCCGGGTACTTTCTGGAATGTACTCCTTAACCCGAGATATGTAAACAACACGTCATAAGCCCTTCTGGAAGCGTCTTACTCTACACCTATATAAGGGATTGACAGACACGGACGAGGGACGGAGATTTTCATATAGATTCTCTTAACATACGAGGCGTGTTTTATTCTTTGTGTATTTGTGTGCTCCTACTTATATGTGTTTATTTCGCATTATTTATTGGCATCATTATTTCTAATTGTATTAACTGTGTACCGGTACGAGATCTACCATACTGTTTATTTCGCATTATTTATTGGCATCATTATTTCTAATTGTATTAACTGTGTACCGGTACGAGATCTACCATACTGTAAGTTGAAGATTGTAATTTTATTTTATTTTATTTTGTAATTATCTTAAGACGTAATAAATCTTAATTAATTGTAACTAGAAACTGTTTTGGGTCGTATCTTTAATATTGTTGATTATATGGTATCGTCCTTTGTTAGGCACTGCTTACAACGAGCCAATTAAAATTAAAATAGGAGATTAATTTCTCCCAATACAAGTCAGTGAGTAACAATCCGCATATCATATATTAAATTTGAAAACAATTCCTCTACTTTGATCATAAGCATGGGTATGACTCATAATGTAACCTTCGATTATTACTATTATTCGAGTTAGTATTTTAACTATCATTAGGCTTACAGTAAAGCCGAAAAAAAAAGTAGGCTAAGCTTTGTGAAAAGTCAGTCAATAGCAGACAATAGATGGACCATTTTATTTTTAGTCATTGGACATAGTTGACATAATAATCTTCTATCTAAAATGCCTATTTAACAATTAAAGGCTAGAAAAACTACATGACTTTAAGAAAATAATTGTACACTTGACTGAGGGGGTCATCCATTTAAAGTGATATTTTCTACCCCCACTCCCTGTTGCACGAAAAATTTTTGACACCCCCCATGCATACTTACAAGAAGCTTTCAACACCCCCCTCCCCAAAAAAAATAAATAAATAAAATAATTTATAGATAATTGTTACATCACAGGGGTTCCCATAGTATATGCCCTGTCCCTCTGGGTTTAGTAGGGGGAGGGCCATTTGTGAAAAAGAAGCAGCCACACCAGAAGCAAATTCTATATAAGAGATACTGCTACTTAGTACTACTGAGTACTATTTTAACAAGCTCATTTGTGAAAACACAAGGCAACATTATGGCCATAATTCCTAAAAAACATTGCTGATATTGTTACAGCATTCGAGATATAAATTAGCTATTTATGGGCTGTCAAAATTTCAGGATGATTACTGCAGAATTTTTTTAAAGTACATACTTTCTGCCAGCCCCCCCCCCCTTTCAACATAAAACTTCCAAAATTGACAGCCCCCCCCCCCCTTGTGTATGTATGAAATTGATGGCACATACCCTTAAATATGTTGATAAAGGTGATCTGAACAGAAAAACAAACTTTAAAGGCAGTAGGGTATGAAACTTCAATTTTCTTTTTAAATACAAAAACATCCCAAACTTGGAAAGTGCAGGCACAACAGCGGGGGTGGGCAAACTTTTTGTGTGGAGGACCACATTGACAATTGTTAAGCTATTGGGGGGCTGTTATGTCCAATTTTTACATATCGATAAACATTTCTCTATATTAAAATCAGCAAATTCGCATTTCAGCATTACTTGACAAAAGTCAAGGACTTTTTTAAGAAATAGAAAATTTGAAAGAAATTCGATCCAAAAATGTTAAAACAATCTTAATGTTACATGAAATTCTGTAAAATTGAACAATATTACTTAAAAACAAAGTATTTTATTATTTCTTAATGTTTTAGAGGGCTGCTTAATATCAGTTGCCAGGCCAGTTTGCAGACCCCTTTACTACAGCATTGAGGCCAAATCCTATCACTAAGCAATAGACAATACATTGGCAGTTTTTAAAGTATTAACAATTAATGCCCCATCTAACAGAAAAATATTCTGGTCGGTTGATTGAGATCGCAAAGGTTAATCACTTCGTTCTTATTCGATTGCTTACAGTAACAAAAATATGCAGCAACTTTTTACTCAAAACACCCTAATTTTTTATATAAAATAAAATAAACTAAACAAATGGAAATAACTCCAGAAACTAATTTTTAAAGATTCGTTCAGTGCCTTCGTCTTAAAAACTTAGTTACTATGGCAAAAGCGTAGCGGTAAACAGGTCTGCAGCTGGGATCCTGTGTTAATCAGGTATGTCATAATGCTAACTCTAAAATAGATTCTAAATCAAGACTTGAAAGTTGTATTGAAAGACACAATCGAAAAGGCCTCCAAAAGTCCAGCACAACAAAAAGCTGTTACAGGTAGAAATAAAATAAAATACCTGGACCTGATTCAATGCCTCTACCCACTCTTCTATCACCAGGAAGAACTGTTAGAGGAGAAGTGGTGGCAATTGTGTTTGGTGCTATTTGTTGATTTTCTACTACTGAATTTGCTGAAGAAGATACAGGTGGATCTTGAGTCTTTTGAATGACATTTGAGTTCAAATCAGCTTGATTGACTCGCTCTGGGGTGGAATCAATACTATTCTGACCTTCTGAAAAGATTATTGGCAAAGAAAATGTTCTTAATATATCAATGAATTTCCATTCTTTCATTATGATTTCTATTTAAAAAAAGTGATGGTGGAAATAAGTTTACATTCTTAGCTATTGTGGTTAGACTTGCCTATGAAAATGTAAATTTTTTATTTCAACATTTTAGAATGAAATTTTTATCAATTTGAATGTTTCAGCTAGAGTAAATGATATTTGCTATTTCAATCAATAAAGGAAACATAAAATCATTATTTGTATCAGACCAAAATTACCTCCATTAACTTGTTTAATCATAGGCTGCCGAGATATATTTGCTGGTACAACTGGGCCATTTACACTTGGTGCACCTTTATTAGATGCCACATTATGTTGGGCCTGAGGTGGACTAATTTTCTGGGGCAACTGGTGCTGAGAAGGGGGAGGCTGCTGTTGCAACGAAGATTGTATATTTGATGGTGAAGATGAGTGATGATGAATAGGGGTTTGTGACTTGGCGCTTGTGTGCTGTGTAGGAGAAACTATTGGTGGTTGCTGGTGTGGTACAGGTCTTTGATGCTGAGTTGGCAGCTGTGTGTGTGACTGCATGGGTTGATGTTGTGGGGGTGGCTGCTGTTGGTACTGGTGAGGGTGTGATGGGGAAGTATGATTCTGCGCCTGTTGTCGATGCACAGATGGAGGCCCTTGATTTCTGAGTGACCCTGCTGATGGTGGTGGGTAATGACTGTTTATTGGCTGTCTGTTTTGTAAATGTTGATGTGAATGTTGTTGCTGTTGGCTAGAAGAGTTGTAAGGTGAATTCTGCCTCTGTAATGTCCTCCCTTGATTTCTTGTGACTCCATTACGCATTGTATTTGTTTCACTGTCACTTCTTAAAGGTGGAATAGTATATCTGAAATGTAATATAATTTTACATTTGATGCAAACACTGTAATATTTAAATCAAGCATCTGTTTTTTATCAAATAAAATGTGCTAAAAACATGACAAAGTTTAAAAAATATTAACTGTTTGTTATATTATTTGTGTACAAGTACACAAATTACAAGCACCCTTTTTATCACTACATACGTGTTTTTCCCCCCACTGTTGCTAGAATCAAGTGAACGATGAATATTCTGTGAATCTCCTCCTCTGTGTACAGCTGAGTAACGGCCCTCTTCATCTCCATCTGAAAGCTCCTTAGCGATCCTATTTTGGTAAGCTTCACTGCGTTCAATCTCTTCAGCTTGTTTTTGTGCAAATCTCTGTCTCTCTTCATATCCTTCAGAAGTAGGGTCAGGAAGTCTGGTTCTGAAATAAATGTTTAAATGGTCATTAAAAAAAGTAATGAATTATGACGTTTTGTAAACAACTAATGTTGAAGTTTAATTCATAGTTAAATTTTTACTTACGTGTATTCTGGCATGGCCTCATTATAAGAGGTTTGTACATTAAACTTTTCAGTATTCACTGCAAACATGGCTGTTGGTTCCCAACCTCCCTTCTGTAATCAATTAGAAAATAAAAACATCACATGTCCATTAGGTAATGTGACTAAGTTATGAATATCAAGGATTCTATGGGGTGGACTTTATCTGCTTAGTACCAATTCCAGATCTTCCTAATCTTGGTTTGATACAAATATTTTATTTAAGTCAACATTAATTTATACAAGATTTCTACCGATGTCTCTTTAAGAGAGAACTTTTAAAGCTCATGAATCATTACCGAGTCATCAAGAGAAAGAGATTGATTTATATCTAAGGCATCATCATCTTGCCAAGGTTGCAATTCCCGAAGTGATCCATCAGCATTGCTGCCATTTGCTCTATTAACTATTGCCGAGTCTATGAAATCTGATGATGCTGGAAAAAAATATTCATAAAAATTTAATCTAATCTGCTTCAATGAATCTAGGTTTTTTTAAACGGTGATACAATGTCATTTCAAAAGCAGTGAATTAGATAATGAATCAGTTAAAAATTTCATTATATAATCTAAAAAAAACCCAGCTTCAATCCTCCACTGCCATAAGCGCCTGCTTTTGCCTTCCAGCGCCTGCCTACAATGCTGGGATGTGGCATGGCAGGCACATAGTGGCATATGATGCTCTTCAAGACAACCTAGAAACTAAACCCCCATACATTTGTCTAAAATTTACTGCTGCACTCACGACTCAAGCTCTTTTTAAAAAGAGAAATCCATGCTTTTACCTTCTTTTGTTAATAAGTTATGAGAGTTTAAAGACAAGCAAATATTTCCAAGCTCATTTATGACAAGCCCCTAAGTATAATAGATTGCTAGTTTAGATGATTAAATAACTGAACAGAACAATGTAGAATTTATTTAAATTAATGTTGAAAATAATATTGATTATGTTAGAGTTGAAGATATGCCTGAAACAGACAATATCATCTATATTATTACACATCAGTAGATAATAATATTAACCGACAATAGTGACCATGGTGACTGTCCGCAAATATTTTTTTTGAAATGCAGCTATAGTCAAATCCAAATATAATTTAATGGTTATTCTCTAGATAACCTTAATTCTTGTAATCATTATTATAACATTTCCTTAACTTTTGTACTGAATAAAAAAAATTTAAATAAAGATATTCCCTGTTGGCAGGAAAACAAGTTTTCACTAAAGTAGATTAGACACAAGTCGGTTAACATGATTGAAATCTTACCACTACAGAGTCCTTTGAGATCTACCCCATTAGTTTTACATACAACAAAACGCTCCTTGTGAATAATGATTCCAGGCAAGGTTGGGTTCAAAGAATTGTCCTCATCGTCCAGCTTTACATCACATAGTGCTATATCACCCTGAAAATTCATGTTTATTTTTTATTGTTAAGGACCAAAACCTCATACAACTTACGTAACAATTGAGCCTCATCCTGATAAATACACACACACAAAATGGCAGGCTAGTTTTTTAAAGACAAAATTATGAATAAATTCTATCAAAATCAAGGTCAAGCAAATGCTGCACAGCAGCACCTACATTTTTGTGAGGCGTAAGAGAGATCAAAAGCTTATTTGAATCATAAGAAATGATCCAACAGCTATAATTGCTAATGAAGATAATTTCAAATATGTTGTTATTTTGCCACTTCGTTTACTGCCATGTTTTCAGGCATTAAAAATATGAACTTCTTTAAAATGAACATATAACCAGAGCAATTTAGCAGGCATGAGTAATATGTTTTATTGCAGGGCAGCTATATAAGCACTCTCTTCATTCTTTGACAACGAAATAATGTGTGGCAAAAGCATTTTTTTCAACTTAGCCAAGCAAAACAAAATGCAAGAAAAAAAAGATTTAATACCTTTTCAGAAAAGCCAGTTGTATGTCCTTTGTATGTGCTGCCATTTTTTGTTTTTACTGTCGTGCGAGTTCCCTACATATTGGTAAATAAATGTGAGTCAATATGTTTAACAAGACTAAGTGAATAAGAAACATGTTCATTAAATACAACCTACAAATTTACAAAGGAGCTACTATTTTGATTCAAAAGTAATGTAAAAATGTTAATTCCTGCAAATAAATAGAATTAAAATAAAAAAATTAACACTATTCATTTTCTGCAGCTACTTGTTGCTATATTCCCCTTTTGACTTAGATGCCAAAACCATCTTTCAAATAAATAAATTAGGTTAATTACAGTGTGAACTATTTTTTCTGAAGCAGAAGATGAAAAAAGTCAAATGTACTGCCAAATTATCTCAGAAAGATATCAAGAAAGTTCTTTTGGGGGTTTAACACAATGGGAAGAAACACAATTTTATAAATATTTCAAAACATCCCTTCTTGTGATAAAAAGGGATGTTACTGGTTTTTTAAAAGCCTAATTAAGTTATTCTTTTCTTTTTTAATTAGATATACTTCAAATTTCAATATATGGTTTTATGAGATTACAAGTCATATAATACGATGTTTTTAACATTATTTACCATAAAACTGCAAAGGACCATAGCCGTTCGAGGATCAGCATATACTCCAGGAGGTGAAGAGGACTATAGTTTAAAGAGATTTTTAAATTAATTTTATCTGGCATGTAAATAACATTCAAATAGAAGTATTGTTCAACTTCTTTTGAAAATTTTCCAAGCAAAAAAAAAAAAATTACTATTTGTATTAATTTTGTAAATCGTGGTTAAAATTAATTTATGTAGAATTAAAGTCACAAGTGTCATGAATGGAACAGAACAGTCCATCCAGTCAGGACAACATTACAATAATTAAAAGTAATACATATTATGCAAAATATATCTATAAAAGCAGCTTTGAATAAAGGCTTATATGGTAAGGGACTAAATTACCTCAGGCTCAGGAGTTTCCCTCCTACTGTTGAAGCTGTTTTGATATTGACTCCTGTTGCTTATTAAGTAAGAAGAAAAAAAACCTCAATAAACACAACAAATAGGCCTACTTTCATATTCTCATTAAATTTTTAAAGTAATAGTTGGTTAACTCAAAAGTAAGCAAAGCTAGAAAAATTCAGTTTACAAATTTACATAATTTTGTTACACTAATTCATATCGACTCACCTGTTTGGCATGTTTGTATTGGGTCTATTTCGAGGTCGATTGCGGTTAGATAAAGGGGCTGAAGACATTATATATTTGTTTTTTTTATATTCTAAAAAGAAAATGTACTTTCAAATAACAACTTAAGGGTGCTGATATATTATATTAAATATATGTCACACATCAAGTCATCAAGCATCATAAATATCTGTTTCATTTAGAGGTAAGTATATCTTGATGCAACTTTAGTTGAAATAATGAAAATCCCATGATTATTTAAGAAAGCTTCCTTGAAAATATATTCTGAAAAACAAAACAAAAAGAAATTTATTAGGACTTCAGTAATAGATAATAGCCAAATATGAACATGTTGAAAATTAAAATTGTTAAAAGTCCTTATAATTAAGGTATATTACTGTAAATAATGACAGAAATTTAGGGTAAAAAATGCTATCCAAAAATATGGAATCACAAATAAATGCCAGTGTACGCAATTTTTTAATGAACTGTGTACAAATAACACAACCAAATCTTTTTTGGCCACGCTCATTCCATAACCGAGCGTGCATCATATCTGTGCACAACACCAGTATGGTAAGCAGTGCCACTTTTACAGGATATCAGCACAGTTGTATAGATAAGACCACAGCTCATTTTAAAAAATATAATATTTTAAGGATTTTAGCATATTAATTTTAAAATAAAAATTTATTTAGTTAATTCTAAACATACTAATTATGTTATGGAACAAGATTAATAGACTGCGTCCAACGCAGACATGGAATTTTAGGGCTTTTTATTTTTAAAGTTAAGATTTTGCAATATACGCCGATTGCGTTATAAGCGATAATTTTCGTTTGCACGTTTTAATGGATTTCATATAACAAGTATACCTCTTAAACATTATCAAGGCCTAGATAATCAGCCAGTGTGTCAATTCATGAAAACATCATTTTGTGAATATAGCAGTAAAGAAAAATAACAATAATAATAATTGTGTTAGATTTGCTGTTATAATTGAACTATATAATAAGCTACTAAAATACAAAATTAAAACAAATTAGCCCTAAGTGGGCAATCACAAAGTCTTGCAGCTAACCCTAGGTTAGTGGTCGACAAATCGGGGCTCTTGAGCCACATGCAGCTCTTTGGCAACCTGAGTGCGGCTCGGCCAGTCTGCCATAAATCGGTTTTGACTCCGAAAAACATGGTTCTGACAAGAAATTTGACTCTCAAAAACATTTTAATTGCCCTGCTGCTGCTGATTTTTGGCTCTTTTGACTAATGACCACTAGCCTAGATGAGAATACACTTTAAATCATAGTAAATAAATCAGATAGTACACTTATTGAGTTTTAAAAAAATCTCTAATAATCTCTAGATGGCAAAATAGATACTATTATTCTAAATTTATAAAAATTAAATTTAATAAGTATTGATTTTTGTTCCTATTGAGCGATTTAAATGAGCATTTAAATGAGTGTTTCTTTCTTTAAAACAAAACTATTTATTAACAAAACATTTATAACAAGATATGAGAAAGTTTGAAATATAGAACAAAAATAGTCTTCAGCAAATGGCAAATAGAAGAAAACCCAAGTTAATGAAAGGGAAAAAAAATTGGGCTTCAGAATTTGGAGGTAACTAGGCAGTCAACAAAATCAAACTAAGAATTATGTGAAATGAGCATAGCAAACAAGGAAGAGACAGTTGCAAAGCTGCAAAGATAAATGACAATTGAGTCAATTTTTTAACAAATAAAATAACTTAATGTTGTAGTGAATAACAGCCAGTTATAAAAACAACAACCTGATGAAGGAGCAGCCATGGTTCATCATCCACACACTACCACCTATTACAAGAAGACTGAAGCCCCAGTGGAAATAAAAAAGGGAAACCTGAATATAGAAGCATTTCTGTACCCCGCAACAAGATGCTTAAACAAGATAGATGGGAGAAGCCAAATCACAAATTTCCAAGTTAAGGACTGCATTGGTGACACTGCTCATTTTGGCTTGGAGGAACTGATGTCCACACCCTGATGTTTTGCCCTCATCTGGAATTTATCTGCTGTCACCTATGGCCATGTATGACAGAGATGTACAAAAAGTTCTGGGAACCTTCTAACAAACTACTAAGGACTGTGGTCTTACAGGCAATGGTCTGAGTTTAAAATGACCATGTTATCTCAAAAGAAGAATTCCCCTCAGCTGTGTACTAGTACTCAAAGTGTTATTAATTTTAGCCTTCAAATACACCTACTAAGTTAGGCCTTACTCTTAGGCTCATTAATAATGGAAAAGAATGAAACAAAGTACGGGAAAACCTGAAAAAAAAAGAACACAACAAAACAACGAATGTGTTGCCAAGAAGCCTTCATCAGCAAACAACCAACAGTAACAACGGAAATAAATAAAAATAACACTTAGCTATAATGACGTAAGTATCCGAGAGGATAGCAAGAAGAATGTGACAGATCATAACTATAAGTCGTAGGTGGGAGATTAAATTCAGGCAAAAAAGAACAGAAAAGACAATTAAGTCCACTGCGAGTGGTCGTAATGAGGAGAGGGTGGAGAAAAGCTTTAACAGGTGAATGAGAAAATGTCATTATGTCAAGGGGGCGGCGGGCCGCAGGTCATTGAGACTTCTTGCGGCAATCTAGAGGGATACAATAAAGTTGCTACAGTAACATTTGCAACCAAATTAAATGTACTGACTTAAATTATTTAATTCAATTTTATCATTTTGTTCCTATTTTCTTTTCTCTCTGTAATTGGCTAAAACAGCATTCTCTCTTTCCTCTTCCCATGATAGCAGACGTGTTTTTACACAGCCAACGTCTTGGTTGATGGGACATGGCAACGGCAGTGGGGAAATAAGTGGCACAGAATGTGTAAATTTACCTAAAAAGCAGTATGACCTACATCCAGAGCGTATTAGGTAGAGTTCACTAGTAGTGGTAATAGTATTTTTTTTATAACTGGAGTCTAGAACTAGACCTAGAGTACTAGTACTAGAGTAGAAGAATCAGGCTGGATGGCAGTTGACTCTTACTCTCTTAGAGGCAGCATTGACTTTTACTTAATTAAATACCTTAATTATAATAGTCCTGCTGACATACAGACCTATTTTAAATAATTATTTTCTTCAAATATTAAATCACATGCATTAGTACTATAAGTATGGATAATCATATTGACTTTTTTTACGTACGACTTTCTCAATCCTAGGGCTAGGCTGACTGTAGACTAGTCGACAGTGTGTCATTGGATGGATGGACGAGTCGTGTGTTATGATAATACAACACGAATTTAAATAGACAAAAATATTTCGCTGGTTCTGTCTCACTGATGAATAAACCGTTGTTTTTTTTTCTAGCTAACGCTAAAAATTGGTTTGCATAAAAAGCAGGCTCAGAACAACAAATATTATTTATTTGATGTGGTACCCACGGTTAATGCTAGGCGCATCCACCATTGAATAAAAATGGCCGACACAAAAATTCATACACCATGAACGAGAAATATTAAAATTTAAATGAAATGTGCTTTGAATTAATTTATTAAAAAATTAATAAAAGTATAAAAATGCATTATATTTTGAGAGATTTAAAATTAAAAAATAATTACATTTATAAATGCCCTATCAGACAATGTGGTACTATTTCTCAGTGCGAAAAAAAAATTATCTTCCGAGATTTTGACGAGATTATCACAGGGCAGTTGGTTATGTCCCATTTCATAAATTTAAAAAATAAATAATAATTTGGGCCACTTATGATTTAGCGGTTAATGTTATTTTTGTATACCCATTCGCCAAACCAATAGCTAAAAAAAAACAAAAACAAAAACAATAAGATCAGTTGGATCGTCACAACAACAACAAACAAACAAAAAACAATCGTTGTTGATTTAATTCCCATTAAGCATTCAAGAGGCCCTAGCTTTATTACTGTTAGCGCCTTAGCCTTGCAATAATCCCACCCCTCCCCCACCAAACTACACGCGCACACATTTTTTTTTTACACACACGCACTTTTTAGAGATCCAATTAAATATTTAAACAATGTTTTCATTTGTAAGCACTTGCACACACAATTTGAGTATACCGTTTGTTTGTATATTTTAACAATATCTATTACCATTTTTGCCTATAGAATATGCATTTTTTAAACCTGGAATTTGTTCTCAGGATGGGAGACCTAATGTCAACCTGACAGTGCATTACTAAATATATAACTTATTATTTAACAGTCTCTTTCAGTTTTAGTCAATTTTGCCCCCTCACTCCCTCTTGTCGACAACTGCAAAACTTTTAAAGATCCCCCTTATTAATAATTTCAAAAATTGTTTAAACCCACCCCAAAAATTTATATTATATATATATATATATATATANATTTCAAAAACACGCTTCATCCCCAAAGGCTCGAAGCGCGGTACAAAGTCAACAAAAAATATCTATAATTCACCACATTTAAAACAAACGCAACACTACAAAAACTAATTACAAGCATACAATATCAAAGTCTTTCTAGCCATTTCAACCCGGAGAAACACAGCAACACATGGAAAATAAGGTAGACAATCATCCCAGAAGGTATTTGCGAAATAGATGTGTCTTTAGATCGGTTTTAAATCGCATCTAATGCTTAAGAAATAGAAATCGAAGGGGAACAATTATTTGTTTAATCTCTTAAACTTCTTGATAGAAAGACTGCGTTCAAGTTATGTCTATGTGAATGTAGTAGTAGAACAAGCTATTTGGAAGCTTGAATAAAAAAACATGACAATGAGATGTGAACGTTTCGGCTAAAAGTCTCGCTCGGCAAACAGGACAAATGAAAATACGACATTTTTACCAATAATATAATATCAAAGCACATTTTGGTGCCCCTAACTAGCCGCGCCCGGGGACATCTGTCCCCCCACCCCCCCCTCGCTACGCCTCTGGCCGTATGTAGACAAACCTGGGGCATCTCTTCAGGAATGAAACGAGTTAACTGTGCAGGCCCCACAGAGTCCTACTTTGCCTTTAGTTTCACCATACACTGCAGCTCCATTAGCTCCATATGCAAATTTACAGGTGCAATTTCCACGTCTATGACTAATGGGTTGCGAAACAGCTCGAAATTACTTTGCTGTGCTTCAAAATCACTAAAGCGCCGAGCGAACTCGGCGCGAAATAAGCAAGTTTTTCAGCAAAGTGTGCATAAGGAAACACCATAGCGTTGACTTGGTTCAGCATTGCTTGGCAACAAGAAGCGTGAGACAAGTTGCAATGGTGCATTTGGTCTCCCATAAGCGGAGCTTCAATTGAAATGCCTTCACTGCATCATGCATATCAGTGATCAAGTGGTTCGTCTCTGGAGCTGCAGGTTCAAGTCGGTAAGATGAGTGGCTATGTCAGGCCAACTCACATTTCCACTTTTATTCCGAAAAACTGTAAGGACTTTTCCTTTGCTGATTATGATTTGAAAGATTTCCTCGATCAGCTGGAAAAATCTACTACCGGAGATTTCCGTAAATTGGCCCACCCGAGCATAAGCCCATGGGCCTGTATACGGAAAGTCTTTGGCCCATGGGCTTATATTAGGTTTAAAAAATATTAAACCCACATACCGAAACTTCTGATGAATCGTCACTGTCATTAAGTATTATAAAAATAAATTGATTTGTATTTTCCATATAAACGCCCATGGGCCTTTATTTGGTACAAAAATCTCAATCATGTAACATCAATTTTCCATTTTGAAGCCCAGGGCTTATTTACGGAAATCTCCGGCAAGAACTTTTACCCGACTTAGCCACCGCACCCCTGTATGATAAGGCATGTCGCCGAAATTTGAGTCTATTTACTGCAAAAAAGACTGAACTTGGCGGTGCTTTAACCTTTGGCTCTGATAAAGTTGACGGTTTGTGTTACAGTGCTCATTTCACCTTCCATGTTGAGGAGTTTACCACACAGTGATCCTTGGTGTAAGATGTAGTGATATGCTATCAATTGACCAGTACAGTTCTCCTGGCATCTTTAATCGCATCCTTCCAACTATTTCCATTTTTTTTTCTCGCCGCACATCGGCCGGTGCTGCAACTAGTTTGTCCTAAGACAGGTTCATGTTGGTTAAATCCTGTTGTAAGTCCAACTAGTTTGTCCTAAGACAGGTTCATGTTGGTTAAATCCTGTTGTAAGTCCAACTAGTTTGTCCTAAGACAGGCTCATGTTGGTTAAATCCTGTTGTAAGTCCAACTAGTTTTTCCTAAGACAGGCTCATTTTGGTTAAATCCTGTTGTAAGTCCAACTAGTTTGTCCTAAGACAGGTTCATGTTGGTTAAATCCTGTTGTAAGTCCAACTAGTTTGTCCTAAGACAGGTTCATGTTGGTTAAATCCTGTTGTAAGTCCAACTAGTTTGTCCTAAGACAGGCTCATGTTGGTTAAATCCTGTTGTAAGTCCAACTAGTTTTTCCTAAGACAGGCTCATGTTGGTTAAATCCTGTTGTAAGTCCAACTAGTTTGTCCTAAGACAGGCTCATGTTGGTTAAATCCTGTTGTAAGTCCAACTAGTTTGTCCTAAGACAGGCTCATGTTGGTTAAATCCTGTTGTAAGTCCAACTAGTTTGTCCTAAGACAGGTTCATGTTGGTTAAATCCTGTTGTAAGTCCAACTAGTTTGTCCTAAGACAGGCTCATGTTGGTTAAATCCTGTTGTAAGTCCAACTAGTTTATCCTAAGACAGTTTCATGTTCGTTAAATCCTGTTGTAAGTCCAACTAGTTTGTCCTAAGACAGGCTCATGTTGGTTAAACTTTGACATACGTTGTCAAAAAATGTCTTTTCCTGTCGTTGTACCATGAATGGTTTTCATGTACAATATTTCTTGTGTAACATTCCAACTAGAGTCCACTCCACAGGTGAAGATGATGAGCAATGTGCAGGGCCAGTCGTGTCATTCCTTTGTGAGAATGCAACAACGTCTTTGCCTTTTTCGATCATCTGTGTTTTCACATCAGTGGCCAGCTCACAAACCCGACCAGCTACCGTATTTATGCTAAGGCTTACATTTGCAAACATCTGCTTTTTGTCTGAACACCAAGACGTCACACACTTTCATCATGCAGCGCTTCAGACACTCTCCTTCTGTAAATGGTCGGCCAGATTTTGCGATCTCTTGCGATCTCCTCTGCCACAATCAAACTTGCAGCTTCAGTTTGCGATTTTGCTTTGGTGAAAAACGTCTGTTGAGATGGTAGATTCATCTCCAATTCTTCTACATTCTCTAGCTTCTGCTCTGCATTCAGGCTTTTAAACTTGTTTTGATATTTAGTCTCGAAGTGCCGTCTCGAATTATATTCCTCGATCACAGCCACATTAACTCCACAAATTAGACACAAAGGTTTACCACCAACATCAGTAAATATATATTTAGCGTACCACAGGCTTCGAAAGGCTCTGTTTTCAGAATCAACTTTTCTCTTCGTCATTTTAAGGCTGGCTTTGATAATTTAAAAAAAAGAGTGTGCATCTACCAACAGACGCTTGATTGATATCACGTTAGCCGTAGCGGGAAAAGGTGATGTATTATACTGGCACTGTACTTCTTTAATTTCTTATGCGCCAATCCCAAACGAGCAACTGAACGTTGCTAGGTTACTGTAACGACGAACATCCACTTCACTTCACGACTTCTATATTCGCTTATTCTGATCGAAGCGAGAACGCTCTCAGGTAGCATATTGTTCGGAAAGTCTGCTAATTAGGGAATTTCATTTTCACTTTATATTCCAGGACCATTAAAAATACTTTTGCCTAAAATTCTCTCTCAGGCCAGATATAATTTTACGCCGGGCCGAATTGGGCCCGCGGGCCTTGAATTTCATACATTTTCCCTACAGGTAAGAAAGAAAATCTGAAAATCTTCTTTCAGAAGTTAGAGCACAGGACAAGCGAACATTTCATCATGATTAATTTTAAAAAGATTGACTAAACCTGCAGCCATGTAATGAATATAATAATAATGTAAGAACATTTAATCAAAAGTCGTTCAATAAATCTCTTGAATATCTATAATGTCAAGGATTTTTTGTGCTCAAAACTTTGAGATTTGTCGCTGAAAGACATGGTTTCGTTTGGTAGATCTAACACTGTAACCATGATGAGAATTATTATGTTTTAGTCCCCTAATTTTCCCAGCTATGGTTCAGAATGTATTAAGGTCTTTAGTTACAGTGCTGTCTTACGGCGTAGGCCAATGCCATGGTCTTTTAGGGGCATCATACTGCCCATTATGTTTATGAATATTGAACGATCATCATTTTCTTTAAAAGTGCCGTAGGAAGCACTTTTCACAAGTTTTTGTGAACTATTTTTTTCAATTTTCAAATCAAATGAATTTTTTTGCTTCTAGATTTGTTTACTACTTCATTTTAAGTTGCCGATTTTTTTTTAATGTCGGGATTTTCAAACAAAAAATA